CTAGCAAAGAATGGATTTATGGAAGAGGCAGCGAAAACCTTTGATAAAATGGGGGAGAATGGCCTTAAACCAAATATAGTTACGTGGACCACTTTGATTTCAGGCTATGTGCACAATGGGTACTGGAATGAAGCTTTGAAGCTCTTTCGAGAACTTCTAAAGGAGGATCTACGACCTAATTTTGTCACCATATCCAGTGTACTTCCTGCTTGTTCAGAATTGGCTGCTTTATTCCATGGTAAATCCATTCATGCCCATATAATTAGAAACATATTCGGGTATTCATATACATTTATAGCCAATGCTCTTATGGACATGTACATAAAATGTGGACTGATGAAGTATGGGGAACAGATTTTTGCAAGAATCTTGAAGAAGGATGTGGTCTCATGGAACACAATGATCCATGGATATGCCATCCATGGAAGAGGCAAGGATGCTTTGGATTGCTTTCACGAAATGCAGGTAAACATAGCAAAACTTTCCTCCATTTTATGGCGTCTTTCATATTTGATGAAGAGTAGTATTTTGTGACCCATCCACACAATTATAGAAAAGTCATGGTCCTAATGCTATCACTGTCCAATCCATTGATGGAAGGTGATGGGGAAAGAGTGAGACCCGCAACAAGACATGACCCAAGAGGTAGGTCCACTATCTCTTGATTACCATCCATCCTTTGATTGGATGGTAATGGGCACTAGTACTACAGTTTTTCTATAGTCAAGCACCAGTGTACTTGCCTGAATCTCTCTCTCTCTCTCTCTCTCTCTCTCTCTCTCTCTCACATCTTTCAAGTCTTTAGTTTATTGATCAAAACAAATAAATTGCAGGTGCAAGGGATTGAACCCGACGGTGTAACCTTCATTGCTGTTCTTTCAGCCTGTACCCACACAGGTTTGGTCGAAGAAGGATGGAGATATTTCAATCAAATGAGCCTAGACTACGGAATCATGCCTACTGGTAAGCACTATGCATGTATGGTTGATCTTTTAGGACGAGCTGGTCTTTTTGATGAGGTTGAGGGTATCATAGCTCAGATGCCTTTAGAACCAACAGCAAGCCTTTGGGGAGCTCTACTTGCTTCTTGTATGAACCATGGCAATGTGGAGATGGCAGAATATGCTGCTAAAAACCTTATAGAATTGCAGCCACAGAACCCTGGGAACTATGTGCTCCTATCGAATATATATGCATCAGCAGGTCGATGGAAAGACGTGAATACGGTTAGAGAGAGCATGGCCAATAGAGAGATAAAGAAATGGCCGGGATGCAGTTGGGTTGAGATAAAGAATGAGGTTCATGCTTTCACTTCATCAGGAAGGGAGCACCCTGATATTGAAAAGATAATTGGAATGTTGAAAACCTTTACTGCTTGTATGGAGGTCGAAGGGTATGTAGCTGAGAGACTTTCTCTCTTACATGATGTTGAGGATGAAGAGTAGGGAAATGCTTTGAAATGGCATACGAGAAGCATTTCTCTCACATGATTTTCAGGATGAACAGTAGGTGAATGTTTGCAAGGATAATGGCATATGAACTGTAAAAATTTCATGTGATCATTTGGCCATAAAATCACAGCATGGCAAAATTCATTTGAGAGCCTTTTACTTGTATCATTCATCCAATTATTCTTTGGGCTGGAAATTGGGCTGTTTCAATCGATGTTACAATCAATAAATAAAATGGTAAGCCTAGTATGAGAGCATGTTGAGACAATAAAATTTTTTAGTATTATAAATGTAAACAGAAAGGAAATTATTTGCAAGTTTTAAATGAAATAAGAAAGAGTAGCTTTATTTGAAGGGGTGAATTTTGCAGTAACTGAGACTCTGTATGTTAAAGCAGGTACAAAAGTGTATCGCATGACATTTTGAATCAATTGGTCTTCACAAAATTTCAGTCCAGTCAGACTCCAAGTGTTCATCAATGGAGATTAATGACAAAAGCATGAACATTAACTCGTATGGTAATAAATAAATTATTCATCTGCCGCTGAGCTCCACTTTCAGAGGAAATGGCTGTCCAAACCAAGAATATCTAGCCAGCAATTTATTCCCCAAAATTCGAGAATTCATCAACTTGGGACCTCTCTTAGGAAGAATTTCTTTGTCTGTTGCAAAAAGAAAAAATGGTAAATATAGCAGTAAAGGATCAGATAATAGAGACTCTCTCTCTCTCTCTC